ACCCGGCACACATCCCCTGCTGCCTGTTGGGCAAAAAGGGACGGAAAAGAGCCTCAATCTCTGATCATATGAAACTTCTGGTGGATCATCTACGGGTTGGACTAGCATCTGCTGAATAAACTCTGGCAAAAAGAGTGCGGTGGCTCCCCTTACCCAGGGTGAAGGTAGTGTTCAGGCACCACGCTTCTCTGGGGGACCATCATGCCCTGGAAGTGGCCCCCAGCTTGAGGGTGTCTGTATGGGGCCATGCGAGACTGACCACCAGGATAAGGCAGGTGCTGGGGGCGCTGTAGGGCCTCCATCAGGTGCGGGTGGGGTCGCTGAGGGGCATAGTGACCACCGGGATATGGGTGGGCTGAATAGGGAGGGTGAGACATCATGTGGGGGGGTGGGGCGCCGCCCTGCTGCATACCAGGATGCATGGCACGGGGGTCGTACAGGAAGCCAGGGGCGCAGGGGGGCTGGCCGGATCGACCTCGGGCCATGGCGGTGTGGCTGTCCAGGTCCAGGATCTCCTTGGGGCTCTCGGATCGGTCGGGGCCTCCTTCCACGCGAGCCACTTTCACCGGGCTGCCGGACTCCCGGCTGTTTGCCGGGCCCTCAGGCCGGGGGCCCTCAGGCCGGGGGCTTGGGGAAAGCAAGGAGCCCCCCGCACCCTCCGGGGACATGCCGCTGTCCTTAACGTGCCCGGGGCCATTTGGGGCGGCGCCGGCGGAGACGTAGGCGTTGGAGGGCACGGGGTGGCAAGGCTGGTAGGGGGCAGCGTGCCACTCCTCTGATGGGAAGCCACCCCGGGCCTGGGGGTAGTAGTGCGTCTGCTGGTACGGTGGGAACATATTGGAGTTCCCTTGGTGGCTGGAGGCGGCCATGTGGTAGGGATACGTCGCCCCCTGCCGGTGATATGAAGGATACTGGGCAGGGCCAGTGTGGGGGTTCAGAGTCTGCTGTAGGGGCTGGCTGGGGAAAGCCTGGTGGTTTGACGCGGGCAGCGACCGTCCGACGGGCAGGCGGTACTGTGCATGGGGGGTACTGCCCATGCCAAACTGGACCATGGCCCCATTTTCCTGCCCTTGGGGGTGGGGGGGCATGTGAGATGCTGCTGGCCCTCGGGGGCCATGTGGGGGCCTGCCCTGGCCAGGATGCTGCATCTCTGGGCTGAAAGTGGGCTGTTCGTAGTGGCCATTGGGGGGTGCCGGTGACCTCATCATGGCTGGGCCGGTGTGCTGCTGAGGGACAGGGCTGCCGTTTGGGGTCTCCCCTGGCCTCCTGTCCCCGGGGGGCCGCGGAGCAGCATGGCCCGGGGCCGTGGGTGGGCGTCCGGCATGCGGCAGGTTTCGAGCCGCACCATGACGAGGTGCATTCTGGGATGCCTGGTGGTGGGGAGGCTGTGCCACGCGGTTCCCCTCCCTGTCACACGTTTCTGTGCCCTGGGGGTGTCCCGGCGCCGGCTCTCCCTTCCCCCGCTCTTGCTGCCTGTTCACGTCCGGGCCAGACGGGCTCTGAAGGCCCCCGCCGGATTGGTCAGGGTGCTCTGTGGGGCTCGGGACGGACCGGCGCTCCTGCTTGGCCGGCACTGGTCCCACTCGGGCCGGCTGGATGGCCGCCGGGGGCTCGACGGGGGTCACACCTGGCAAGATTTGGGGCACAGAAAGCAAATGGAAACTTTCCCATTGTTTTGGAAGAAGAAAACATGCCCCCCCCCCAAAACAGACGGACACCGTTCAGCTCATGAATATTCCACCAGCCTCTCGCTGTGAAAATAATTAGTGTGCGATACAGGCGGCTCGCTCGCTCCAAGGGCTGCGTTTCCCCCACGCAGCTGCCCCCTCCCCCGACTTACCTTTGGGCACGGGGTCCAGGTCGTTGGCAGAGCGGCCGTCGCCTCCACTGTCCCCGGAGAGGCTATGCTGCCGCATTTCGAGTGGAGGCAAGTTGGGGTGCAGGCCGGGGGCTGGGGTTGCCTGCGGGGGCTGCTGTGGAAGGGGCTGGCGGGGGGAGCCGGCAGGGGGGGCCCTCGAGGAGGCAGACAGCTGCTGAAGGGCGATCATTTCCGGGCTTTCCAGCATGGATGCCAAC